TACCCCTCAGTATCTCTCAGATATGCTGCAAAACCACCATTTACCAGTGGTGTGCACCTGCACCACGGCTGATATCCAAGCTGCGTTCAATACCATCGTCTCCCGCATACAGAGATTGTAAGTGCGCCTCTCATACATCTGTTTTTTGCCATCAAATGCTCAGTGTCACAGTTAAGTGCACACATCTTTATTATATTGATAGTCCTGTAGCCAAAGGTAGTGACTGTAAAACTGTGAGCCATCTATTTATTTTTCTCCTAGTTGCAACTGTAACTCCCAGACGCCTGTTCCCATAAAGATAGCTGTGGCTGGGGCACAGCACTACCTCAGTGTTGTTCTGAGGCTTTTTGTGGATCACCTTTCCCATAAGACCCCTGACTGGCTCGGCTACATGAGGTTCCTCATCATCCCTCTAGGTTAGGCCAACCATAATATTACTCTTGTGTGCATGTTTTAATTAAGCTTTTTACTTACTGTAAACAGGTGAGATCATTGCTGAGACTCCTGGTAATGTTTCAGAATTAGCATAGTAATTATATTGATGGTGAAATGCCACTCAATGTACTGTACCTCTGAAGATGAATGTTTTCAAATATTGAATGTGTCTCTTTGCCTTTAGGTGCACATCCGGTCTCCAAATATCTTGGCACTATTGACTATCGATACAACAGCTTGTTTCAAGATGCTGCTTGGAGGGATCTGTTTCACAAGCCAGAGGCACCTGTTGTTGGTGGGCTGTTATGTCTCATGGACTGCCTTGCTTTGTACCACAAAAAACTATTTTTGTTTAAGTTTAACGAACATCTCCAACCAGAATTCAGATGATTTTTGCTGAAAAACTACAGGATTTAGATAAAAACATTAAGATTTACAATTGTGAGGTAAATATGAGGGTACAGTCAGTAGAGCTGGAAAGAAGTATTAATCACTGTCTTTTGCAGCCCAGGAGAACCCAGATGTAGTGTCGAGGGTAACTCAGTACATGGTGGGAGCTAATGGAGCTCACCAGCTTCCGATCGCAGAGGCCATGCTCACGTACAAACAGAAAAGGTACTTTTATTATATATTCTCATTCATTATTTAATAACAAACCTTAGAAAATTCACACTGGTTCTTATCAGCTGCAGAGAAGTGATGGACAGTGAATAGACAGTAGTTGGCTGTTGAAGATGATGTCCAAAGGTAACCAGCAAAGGCTCCAGATATTCTGGTATCAGCCGAGACAAAATCTGCCACATAACACCATGTAAAATGGCAAATTGTCATTTTTCTACTTTGGTTTTTATATAGATTAAAAACCGAGAGATAGGCCTCATTACCAGCATCTCATATGCTCACTAAACAGTTTGAGACAGATCCAGGCTACCTTTTTCTACTGGTTTTTGTCTTTATGCAAAGGTAAACTAACTCGTTGCAGGCTGTAGCTTCATAATTAATATAAAAATAGTATTAATCTTAACTCTACTCCAGAAAAAGCACATTTCCTAGAATGTCTTGTCTTAAAAGCATAAACATAAAGTCTGCTAAAGTAAAGGTAAACAGAAAAACATATACATTTAGGCCAAGAATATTCAGTTACTTAGAATGTTGTTTTAGCAACTTATAAGCTTCAGACAGCTAGCTTGTGTATAGGCTAGCCTGGTTAGCACTAAACACAGAAAAACATTGTTCTGAAAAGTCACAGATGAACTATCATAAAACAGCTATAATAACACACAGATAATGATCAGACAAAACATATGAGGAGAAAACAAAAGGTTAGTATTTGCTTGGTTACACATCTTGGAGTTAACTGCTATGGAACTTTGCAGGGAGTGGTTACTAGAAACAGAATGAAGCTAACTGCTAGCAGAATATTTGACTTGGAAATCATGCATATAAGGATTAATGTGTGAAATAAAATGTGCATGCAGTACAATTGTGGTAATCCTGTTTTGCATGCTTGTGATTTCAAACATCTTGTAAAAAAAAAAAAAACACGAGGTAAAAGTTTCACTGTTGTGGGGTTTGTGTAGTCTGGTGTAAGGGAGTTTGTCTTCTATACGTCACTTTTTCCATCACTGTGTGTGTGTATGTGTGTGTGTGTGTGAGTGAATAACATGTTTTTATCTTTTTTGTTGTCTTTTCTTTTGAAGGAAAAAGAGCTTTCATTTTGATTTTGCAGTAAGGTATTGTGGTTGACTGAGTTTGTTTCTCATGTAGCCCGGTGATTAATGCGCTTTCTGTGTGCCATTTTCCCTTGAACCTTCTCAGCCTATGTTGGAGCTTGCCACTTTAACAGCTGTCTAGAAAGTTAACTTTCAATGACCAACCTGAGCCATAAACTTTCCAGATAAGATCTGTCTCATCAGAGCCACACTTCAGCATTGATATTGCTTGAGCTAATTAAAGCTGCACCACCAAGTTTTTATTTAGATGTTTTTTCAGCTAAAACATAAGAGATGCACTAAGAGTATCTGATAAAACACTAGCTGTGTCCCATTATGTCCAAATTAAATTGTTGTAGGTGGGATATGCCAAAGAAAGTGAGAGGAAAATAATAACAGAAAAAGAAAAAAACAGAAAGCAGTATATCCAAAGCAATTGGAATCGTGTTCTTTGGTGTAAAGTGATATACTAAGTAGATATGCTAACATAATGTTACATGGTTTTAGAATAGCGGAATACTTTTTTCTTTTTTAGTTTATATGCTAGGTTATTTGGTGCAGCTTTAATTGCCAAATCTGCAACTCAAGAAGTGGGCCTACTCCAGACATAAAGACTTTTATTTCTTAAAGGGACAGTTTAACATTTAAGGAAATGCACTTATCTGCTTTCTTGGTGAGAGGTAAACGATTGTACAGTATGAAACTATAGGCAGCAGTTGGTTATCTTACAGGGTTAGTGTAGTTAAAAACTGGAAACGGGCAGATCAGTTGGCCTGGCTTTGTGGCAGAATCCATTTGTCCGTATAGATAAAGCTCACTAATTAACACAACTGAGCCATACAGAAACTGAACTGTAAGAATGATGGGTAGAGATCTTATGAAAGGTACGTGAGATAATTTCATCCCCCCTGTCAGAGAATAGAGAGTGGCATCTAATTCTCAGGGAGAAAATATGTATTTTCCAAAATGTCAGACCAACTATTCCTTTACATGCTTCATACAGATGTTTAGTGCACATCTTCTAAATGTGTGTAAACAAAGCTAAATCTGGTCAGAAACTTGAAGTGTGTTAGTCTCAACCCAACATCTACAGTATGTGTTCTTGTTGTGGTTATTCTTCATATCAGAAACTCTCTGATGTATTATTCCTGAAATTTTAGCAAACATTTGCTCAGTACACAGAGGTAATCCTCACATTTCAGTTCTGACTCCAGTTTTAATTGGTAAGATGTCTAAAAACTGAAAATATGCTGTTAAAGTGACAGGAGACCAAATCCAATAGAGCTCCCTCCGCTGAAGCCTTTTTTGTTGTTGTTGTTTGTTTCAATTCCTCTCTGCTGATTCCTTTCTCATCTCCATGTGCTTCTGGCTACCCATGTCTGTCTGTTAGTCCACTTAGATGTAGGAAACCTGCACACTGTCTGTAAAATGATGTTAAAATGCAATTAGCACTTTATTCTGTAATTTCATCATGACCCTCATCCACCAGGATCAACATATTTAAGTTATTTATTTGGTTTAATCTAGTCTAATATCAACTTCAAATGCATTTTGCTATAGTGACTTAATACTATGGAACCTTTTTTTAAAATAGATCTTTATAATACATGCAAACCTTTATGTTCTAATGCAAATATATGAGCAGTATTATCAGTGTGACAGAGCTGAGTGTCTACATGCAGTGCTTAATTTTTTTTTCATGTATCTAAGAAAGTAAAGCAGTATCATTTATTTTTAATTAATATATTTAAAAATCTCCAAGTCATTTCCTGTAATTGATGGAGCACAGAGAAAATAGTGTCCTTGAAATCAAAGCTTCCAAGTAACAATCCACTACTCATCTATTACTGGACATGTTAATCTCCATACTTTATGTTGAACTGCACAAGTTTTACAGTACCTCACAAACGGCTGACTAAAATACCCTAATTTTAATTGATTGGAAAGGTGGAACACAGTTTTTATTTTCCCTGTTGTTAGTAACAAATTAGAAAGGTTTTATTAGGAAATCACAGAACAATACAGTGACGCATAAATGGAAATAACGAGAATATAGAGACAAAGTACCACAATATTACACTATAAAAAAATAACATAAGCAGTTGGCTATGACAAATAGCAGTTGGCTGTTTCTCTAATAAGTCTCTTTAGAATAAAAGAGCCTTATTAGAGAATCAATAAAAACACCCAACCATCAATAACATAAAGAAATGGCTAAAATGACTTCATAAAAGGCATTACAACAATACAACCATATAAATCTAAGTAAAAAACAAAGATCCATAAAATGTTTGAAATATATTTAGGGCTAATTGAAATGAAGGTAATAAGATAATCATATGTGCTATAATGTGTGACAATGCAGGCATTAAAAATATATAAAAAGGATTTATGCTAACCCACCAAAGTTAAATCTAGTGTTGACGGAGATGCAGGGCTTGATTTGAAAAGTGCATGTGTTATGTCCATAACGAAACTGTCCATTTACACAGATTGACAATTCATGTGCATCTTGAGACTGACTACACATTTGACAGAGGTCTGTCCAACATGCATCGCTCACATACCAGGCAGACATCTGGCTTTCTCTCTCTGGCTGCTCTGAAGCTGATCACAGCAGAGATGTGCTGTTTTGGGAGAACAAAGTGTTGCCTATAGACTGTCTTCTCTCTTTCTCTCCCCTCCTCTGTAGTCTGTCTGTTTCTTCCCTGGGGGGGCGATGGCAGGTTTCTTCAAGGCAAGAGCAACAACCTTTCACATCATCAAATGTCTACATTTAGAAATCATAGAATCACGGAATAGTAGAAATTCATTGAGGCTATTTTTCTGGTCATTGCCGGGAAAATAGTTCACACTGTAGAAGGCTTGTAGGTGTAGTTACAGTATGCACTACCACTCACGGGTAGTGCATGGACCCAGACGGGCTTTGGGTTTAGGTTGGTGCTCTTCCTTCTCATCCTCTTCTTTATGGTTCAGTAGTTTAGTCTGCTCCAGATGGACTTGCTGCCTCCTGAATGCCATTCTGACTTTGATTTGGTAGATCCAGTTTGTCTCTGCGATGATTGGATGCCTTTGGCGGAGGCCGTGACTTGGCTTATAGTTTGCATGTTTTCTCTCTGCTTCTCCAGCTGCAGTCAGGCAGTGAACCTGTTTTAGTCAAAGGTTAAAGCCTGGCAGCAGGTGCAGCATGCTCTGTGGATTCTGTTTGGGTTGTGATACATTTGTGTATTTTCTCTGCAATGCCACACAGTATTTCCAGTGTGAAACACTGGAAATCAGCATAGTCAAAAGTCAACAAGTTACTAATTACCACTTCACAATGTTGCTAGCTGTAGATACCATTTCTTTAAATTATAATCGTTTCTGATCTTTTACTTTTCACAGCCAAGTTTTGGAAATGCTTGTGGGAGCTAGCCCCTTTAGTTCTGTATAAACAATTAGAATTTCTTAACTTTGTATCATGACGTGTTTATTTTCTTGCCTCCTTTTATCTGAACTCTTTTTGGCTCTGCTGCCTCAACACAGCCCTGATGAGGACTCGTGTCAGAAATTCATCCCTTTCATTGGTGTAAGTTTCCTTCTTTTTCCTAAAAGGCCACTTGACTGTGGTTTAGCCCTGCTGTAACGATCTTTCCTGTGCTTTGTTTAATCCTTCAGATGGTGAAAGTTGGCATCGTGGAACAGACATCTGCAGCATCAGGTAAGCTAGTGTTTGAACTGATTATCAATGTTTAATAGGAATGTAAGAATATTTGTAATTTTGCAATATTGTGGTATAAAAATGTCTCAAATATTGTGGGACTATAACTGTGTCTACACACGGTAATGTTATTTCATTAGTATAACTGTGTGCTGGTCGCAGGATTTGAAACGGACATAGCAGATGCACCATTGTCGACTTTTAGAGCTGTTATATGGCAGCATAATAACATAGGGGAAAAGAGGACTAACAAATGCTGAACAGTTTTCAAATACTGCTAGATGAAGGCAATACCATCCCTGTGTAAAACTCACAGTCCTGGGTATGTCTGGCAGAAACAGTTGGAGCATGACTGTGCTCTACAATGTTATGGAAACTGGCAAACAAGCGGGGCACACGAATACAAAACCAACTAGTTAGTAACCACCATGATGTTTGAAAAACACTTCAGTAAAGCACAAAGCTCACCTTTACTGTAGGTGGCTGGTCCTAGTTTGGCATCTTCTTCTCTTTGTTCTGGTGCACCAAGCAGCAATCTGCTCTCACTGCTCACAGTTTGGTTTTAGAATTGCGCTGTGTGTCGCTTCCTCCCTCAGGAGACTCTGATGATGCAGCACCACTGGGCTCATCTCTGCTGTCCTCCACCCCTCCACAACTATCACCTGCACTCAAAGAGGCGTCACCCACCCCACCGTCCTCTCCCTCCATCAACACCAGCTTCTCTGCTTACAGGTACAGTATAGTGTGGTACATGGTGAACAGACATTTCATCAAAATGGAGCAAAATTTAAATGTGTGGTTCCCAAACTTTTTGACCTGTCTTTAAATTTTTAACATCAAATTCTAACTTGCTGCCGTTGGTTTAATACAGTATAAATTAACCAGTGTGATTTCCCCTTTCTTGAATTGTTTAAATTGAAAAAGGCTGAACGGATATACATCACAAGAAAATTACCATGATTTAGAAAGTCTAAAAAAAAAAAAAATGTAATTCAACATATTGTATGTATACTTTATTTTATTTCAGAATAAAAGTAATTTCTCTGTATTCACTTTACTGGCTGTATGCTGTAGCTCTGGTGGTCAGGCAGAGCTGATGGGGCTTCAGGTGGACTACTGGGTGGCCCTGACAGAAAGGAAGAAAGACATGGAGAAGCGGGACTCCTCCTCCAAAAACACTCTGAAGTGCAATTTCCGCTCGCTGCAGGTCAGCCGGCTGCCACTGGGGGGCGCAGAGCCGAGTCCCCAGCCCACCATGTCTATGACAGTGGTGACCAAGGAGAAGAATAAGAAGGGTAAGCAACACACCTGAGTTGTCCAGGTGGACTTGTATATGTGTGTTTCTTTTGATTAGGGCACAGTGAGGAGTCTTAAAGGGGTGAATCCTCTTGGAGTGAACCTTGAAAAAAAAAAATTGACACGATCTGAGCACTGTCATTAAGTTACAATTTACTGATGTCACAGAGAAAAATGTGGAAGACGCACATCACAGGAAATTCACAGAGAGGAAGTAATCTGATAAAATCCAGTCTTTGATATTCTGACCTCAAATGTGAGACCAAAAGACAAAATGTCATCACAATTTAATCTTCAGAAACCACAAAGACTGAATCCCTCATGTACCTACATGTACTCTGTTGTTCCCTTCTGCTAGTTATGTTCCTGCCAAAAAAGAGCAAAGACAAGGAGGTGGAGTCAAAGAGTCAAGTGATCGAGGGCATCAGCCGACTCATCTGCACTGCCAAGCAGCAGCAGACCATGCTGAGAGGTAATTTTTTGTCCTCCCTCCTCCTTCTGACATCAGAGAGATAGCTGATATGTCTGTATTCAGCTTTGTCAGCAGTTTTGTTTTTCTCTGTTACAATCAGGACAATTAAAACACACTGAGAATTGTAGTCACATACAGTATACAGCCTGCATACAGGCATCCCCACACATAGATACATGCTGCATACATATGTACATACATGCACCTACATATTTACATTTGCAAATATTTACAGTTCTGCTTTACATAAATTCATAGATGTATAAAAGTTTACATTTTAATTGTGCTGAGTGTGAATACATTGCATATTTAAAACTAGTGGTAAATCTGTAGGAACATTTTTTTCATCAGCACAAATTGATCCACAACTCTCATAAAAAAAAAAAAAAAAAAATTCTAAAAAGTGTTGGTCCCAGTTTCTCAAATGTGAAGATTTGTTGCTTTTGTGCTGCAAGTTGAAAATGTTGATGGGCACTTTTCAATATTTTCTGATATTTTAGAGACCAAATGTTTAGTCCAGGGGTGGGCAATCATGGTCCTTGAGGGCCGCTGCATGTTTTCCAACTATCCCAGCCCTACCCACTGCTGATTACCTGGATCAGGTGTTTTCTTAGGTGAAGGTGGATTGCCTAAACACCCCTGATCCAGGTAATCAGCAGTGGGTAGGGCAGGGATAGTTGGAAAACAAACAGGGCAGTGGCACTTGAAGACCAGGATTGGCCACCTCTGGTTTAGTCACTTTAATTTAAAAAAAGAATCGGTACATTACCAGAAAATGAGAATATCCCAAATACAGGGTTTTTCAGCATAACATTAACTTCAGTTACTGCATGTTTGCGTGTCTCCTTTTCTGCAGTGCTGATCGACGGCGTCGAGTGGAATGATGTGAAGTTCTTCCAGCTGGCAGCACAGTGGTCCTCACATGTCAAACATTTCCCCATCGGGATCTTTGGACACACAAAAGGCCCTTACTAGCAGCAGAGACTGATACACTGAGGACAGCTTCCCCTTCCCTCCCCACTTTCTTGTGCCAACAGCTTTTCACCCCCTCCACCTCACTTTTCTGCCTCACACTTCTTCTATTCTGCTGTCTTAAGTTAAGCTCCTGCTTTCCACTGTTGCATTTGTCCCATTATTTAATCTTTTGCGTGTTTTTTAATTTTCTATTTATGTAAAAATGTCTTGAGGCAAGACAGCCAAGGGAATATTTCTTTACTCTGCTTTTTAAAAGAAAAATCCTGCTGATGTTTTATAGATTTTTGAGAAACAAACGAATGAATTAAACAAGAATTAGAAATGACTTCTAACATTTAACATACTGTGTCCAGGCTTCACCCTCTGCCATCATGTTTTTTTATTTGGTGAAGTTACAAGAAGAACAATTGATCAAGAATATATTAAATATCAAGAGCAGCTGCCTTGTAAATGAAATGGAAGTGATGATGGTTACCTTATTTTCTAACCATGAAGAAGAAATATTGGATTCTCAACTTCAGAGACTGTTGCGGATTCGTGGTGTTATCCCTGAAGAGGAAAAGAATAAATGGACCCTGACCTTTGGCCCTCTGCACTCAATTAGTTGTCTAATGTACAACAGATAAAATACTGTGTCAGTGTCATTCTGAAAAATAACCTGGTACTGATAGATTACACACTGCTTTTAGTTCTGATTTTCACATTATGTAACCCTCTCCTTTCCTTACTACCTCCACTTGAGGTTTGATGAGTTATGCTCCAAAATTAGACCAAAAATTAAAAGAGTAAAGTCAAAACACATGATGTTTAGAAAATGATTAAAGCACAAAATGTGTTACTTTGTAGATGGTAGTGCAAAGGGAATATTATTTATATTTTGGAAAATATGCTTATCTTGTTTTATTTTTTGCCAAGACTTAAATAGAAGCTTGATACCACTCTCACATCTGGTTGGTAAAAATTAATCTATAACTTGCTAGTTGGTTTAATTAGCATCAAAACAGGTAGCTTGGCTATATCCAAAAGTAACAAAATTCACCTACCAACATTATTAAAGCTCACTAGAAAACATTTTTTTTAAACCTTGACAGTAACCTAAGTGTGAAAAGCACATGTTGTAGTTTTGTGAGGACTTGATTGGAGACAGTAGACCCCCAAATCAACATAACCTGGTATTTGTTGTTTTTATCTTCAGACAGAACTGCACTAGCAGTTTCTGCCATTTTCAGTCTTTATGCTAAGCTAAGCTAATCAGTTGCTGGCAAACAGCTAACCTGGCTCTAATCAAAAATAATAAAATCAACCTGCCAGCATCTCTAAAGCTCACTAACTGCTTCTGTGTTTGTTGAATCAGCATAAAACTGAGCCAGGGCAGCTATTTCCAGTCTTTATGCTAAGCTAAGCTAAACATTGCTGGCAGTAGCTTAATATTTAGCCAAGAGCGGTGAGAGTGACATCCCTTTAAGCTTGGCTTGTAAAAATGAAACACATTTTATAGAGTGCTTCCTCAGTTTTTGGCTATTAGCTTGTTGCTCCCCTCTCCCAAAAACATATAATTTAGGAAGAACCCTTCCTACTCGAGCCCTACACTCCAGGACACACTCCATATCTTTTGCTAAAAGCAAATGTTACTTTTGCCAAAGGAAATTCTCAACTGCAGCTCACTCATTACCTGTGCAGTGTTATAGCTGACTTCATAATGTAGAGGTGAATGTATTGAAGGTACCTTAATGTAAAGCACTTTCAAATGTTTGTCAATTATAGATTTTAGTGTGTTAAACATGCCCCCACAATCCTGCAGGTACTGTGGTTCACAGAGGCACACAGACAGATATGGTATCTGCCATTATGCAAAACAAACCAAGCATCTGTATCTTCTTAGTGCTGTTTGATACCACTTTATGCTCCATGTGAACCCTCATTGAAGTATTTAGGATTTACTTTTTCTGTAAAGTTAGCCCAGAATATGTAGCCTATGTGATGTTGTCAGTAGAGTTTACTCAATCTTTAGTTTTCTATTAAGCATAGCACTAAAATGTATTTTTCTTTCAGTAGCAATTTCATCATAGCCTTTGCTAATTTCTTGATAAGTGCCTAAATTGCTTCATTTTGACAAATCAATACAAATAAATATCCCTGGCTAACATGGTGCTGATTTTAGTCTGACAACAAAATAGGCCAGTTGTCTCTCAAAAATGGGTTTGATGCCATTAAAAGGACACTGCAGCCCATTCATGGTAAGCATACATGTGTTTCTATATATATATAAGATATTTTGGTTTTTCATGTTGTGTCAAAAAAAAAGGCTTGTTAGAACTGATAATCCCCCTAAAACTACCACTGTAATCCCATGAACTGGGAGTAATAAAACTAAAATGTACTCCTCTTTCTATGTGTGTTACTACAATTTTTTTCCTACTCAAAAACTGGATGAAATCAGTGCTGTGGGAATAAATATAAAGGTGATTTTTAGCATTATGAACTCCATTCAGTGAAGCTAACACCCTACAGCAAGTCATGGTTTTATTAAAACTGTATTTTTCAGAGTTAATTCTTGACCTTTGGAAAGGCAGGCGAGAAAGTGGTCTCACTACAGGATTCATCGTGAGAACAGAACAGCTACACAATGGATCTGTTGTTTCTGTTATTTTCTCAACAGCTGTTTCTGTTGTCAAGCATGAATGAACCTCAGCTTATTGTTATGGCCTCTTGGAGGGACCCACATTGGTATAAATTACACTAGTCTGATACCAGCAGCAGTGGAGGAAGAAATACCCTAGAGCTTTAGTTAGGCTACCTTTCAGAATCAGATTAATAAAATAAAATACAATATAATCTTAAAACTTTATTGAGCCCTGGTGGGAGGTTCCAGCAGTGCATGTGAACTACTTCAAATTATAAGTACATAACATAGCCCAGTTAACATTAGCTTCACCTTTACCAGCTGCAACATTAAAATGATGTCCACAGTCTAATGCATCAATAGTTATAATCCAAACATATCATCCACATTTACTATGCACAATGACTTTTATTTTTGGTGCTTTAAGTATATTTTAATGCTAATAACTGTATACGTTTATCCATCCATCCATCCATTTTCTTCCGCTTATCCGGGACCGGGTCGCGGGGGCAGCAGTCTAAGCAAAGATGCCCAGACTTCCCTCTCTCCAGACACTTCCTTCAGCTCCTCCAGGAGAATGCCTAGGTGTTCCCAGGCCAGCCGAGAGACAGAGTCCCTCCAGCGTGTCCTGGGTCTTCCCCGGGACCTCCTCCTGGTGGGACATGCCCGGAACACCTCACTAGGAAGGCGCCACCTTATTGTGGTGGAGGGGTTTGAGTACCCGAGTGATCCTAGGAGCTATGTTGTCGGGGGCTATATGTCCCTGGTAGGGTCTCCCCCCGGGTGACCGAGCTCCTCACCCTATCTCTAAGGGTGCGCCCAGCCGCCCTGCGGAGAAAGCTCATTTCGGCCGCCTGTATCCGGGATCTTGCCCTTTCGGTCATGACCCAAAGTTCATGACCATAGGTGAGAGTCGGAACGTAGATTGAGCAGTAAATCGAGAGCTTCGCCTTGGTAGATTCTACGCTTTTTGTTAGAAATT